TGATACAGAAAAGTGATGAGATAGAAAGTTTCCGTTATTTTTATTAATGAGACAACTTATTTCCCTTTTAATCATTGAAATAATGACAAACATATGACTGAAATAAAGGTAGTGGACAAAAAAGTGAGTTTTATACTTTAGTTACTACCATAGTATCTTTAGTGACCATTAAGCCAAGCAAGAACAATTGAATTCTCAGCTTGCCATATATTATACTACATATATTGTAAGAGGGTGATAGCACAAGGGGTGTAGAATATTTTGATAGGGTGTATGTAAGAAGGGGAAGGAGGAACGGGAATAGTCGGGAATAATTAATGAGCGGGTTTGTTTGCTATATATATGTTAGGGTGGGAAATAAGAGGGACAGGCTGGAATTCAGTAAGTCTTGGCTGGGCTTTGGGCTAGAGAGAGAAACCCACTATCTTTCTCTAGATTGGACTGTTCTTGTTATTTTACGTCTCTTTTATTAATAAAATACTGCAACTATTACCGATTATTAGCTTGACTAACATTGGTATCAGAGCAAACGGTCCTGCGGGCTGTGAATGACACTGACGCGATCAAAAATGAAACATCGCTTAGAGAATCTCGAGCAAAACGTGAGCAACATCGAGCAGAAACTGGAACGTAACAGCACAGAGGTGCGATCGATAGCAGACAAGTTGGATGGGGTGATGGCCGAGCTTCGCCGTCTCGCGAACAACCAGAGTCATCGGCAATCCAGGAGTAGGTCGCGGTCGACTAAGCGAACCGATGCACACTCTCGGACAGGATCTTCGCAATCTGGAGGTGATTCTCATAGTGCAGCCGTTGATTCTCGCGAACCACATATTTCTCGTGCTAAGCGAGGAATTGAGAGAACCGGAAGGAAAGTAGATCTTCCTCTATTCAACGGAGAGGATGTTAATGGATGGATTATTAGAGTGGAACGTTTTTTAAGTTGAATCTGGTGCACGATCATGAAAAAGTGGAGCTGGTTGTCCTGGCCATGGAGGAAAAGGCATTGAACTGGTTCCAATGGTGGGAGGAACAAAACAAGGAGAAAACATGGGAGAAATTCAAAGGAGCTTTGATACGGAGATTTCAACCAGAGCTGGTGCAGAATCCTTTTGGGCCTATGCTAAGCCTTAAACAGACTGGATCGGTGATGGAATATAGAGAACATTATGAACGAGTGGCAGGTCCAATGAAGCATACTGACGAGGAAATGCTCAAAGGAATTTACCTTAATGGCCTGAAGGAAGAAGTGAAGGCTGAGCTCAAGCTATACCCAAATGCTGCCCTCCCTGAACTGATGGATATCTCTCTGGTGTTAGAAGGGAAGAATGCTGCATTTCGAGGGGAGAAATATCAGGTTGGGGACCAGAGGAATGGAAAGGAGAAGGGAGAGACACTGAAGAAACCTCAACAGTGGATAGATGGAAGCAAATGGAGATCACAGACCAATATTCAATCATCTCAGGAAAAGGCTGGGGGTGAGCCTAAGATGGGAGTGAAACCGGAACTCAACAATAACTGGAAGGGTGGCCAGAGACTAACACAAGTAGCATTACAAGAACGAAGCAAGAAGGGGCTGTGTTTCAAATGTGGGGAAAGATGGGGCAAGGAACATATCTGCAAATTGAAATACTACCAGTTTATTCTCATGGAGGGGCCTGAGGAAGAAGCAGAAGAAATGGAACCAGAAATGGATTCGAAAGAGCCAGAAAACTCTCGAGAACCACAACAAATGCTATTGTCAGCCATGAGCAAACAGGGGATCACTACACAGAAGACTTTCAAGTTGGAAGGGAAGTTGATGGGAGATGGGCTAAACAGATCCGTGCTGATCTTGATTGACAGTGGAGCCACCCATAACTTCATATCACAAGCCTTAGTGGAAGAATTACAATTGCCCTACATCCAGATTGATGGATTTCAAGTGGAACTGGGTAATGGAGACAGAGTGAGCAACAATAGGAGATGTGTGGGGTTGCAGGTTGGAGTACAAGGTCTTGATATTATACAGAATTTCTACCTGTTGGAGCTGGGTGGAACTGACCTAGTGTTTGGGGTTGAATGGCTTGCCAGTTTGGGAAATGTAGTGATAAATTTCCAAGAACTAACACTTAAGTGGTGTGAAGAAGGGAGATTAAAGAGCTTAAAAGGAGACCCAACTTTAAGTCAAGTGCAAGTTTCGTGGAAGGCACTGGTAAAAGCTCTCCAAAGAGAAGGCCAAGGATTTTATGTGACTTGTGGGAACTCTCAGGAGGACTCTGTAAATGGAGCTGCACCAGGAGAATTTTGGCAGGAAGTGTTGGACAAGCATAAGGAGGTTTTCCAAATGCCAAAGGGGTTACCTCCTAAACGCAGTTGTGATCATGCTATCAACATTAGGGAAGGTGCTGAAATACCTAACATACGACCCTACAGGTACCCTCACTACCAAAAAGATGAAATAGAGAAAATTGTGAAGGAGTTGCTAAATACAGGGATCATCCAGCCCAGTACCAACCCTTATAGTAGTCCTGTTCTCTTGATTAAGAAGAAGGATGGTGGATGGCCCTGAACAGGATCACAGTACCAAACAAGTTTCCCATACCCATAATTGAAGAGTTACTGGATGAATTGGGAGGAGCCAGGGTATTTTCTAAACTTGATCTTAAATCCGGCTACCATCAGATCAGAATGAAAGAAGAGGATAGACACAAGACGGCTTTTCAAACGCATGAAGGTCACTACGAATACCTGGTAATGCCATTTGGATTGACTAATGCACCTTCCACTTTTCAAGCTTTGATGAATCAGATTCTAAGGAAGTATTTGAGGAAGTTTTTTTTAGTATTTTTTTATGACATACTTATCTACAGTCCTTCAGAATATGAACACAAAGAACACTTGAGTACCATCCTCCAGTTACTGAGAGACAACCAATTGTATGCTAATCATAAGAAGTGTATAATAGGGCAGAAACAATTATCCTACTTGGGTCATATGATCTCTGGAGAAGGAGTAGCCGCTGACCCGGGCAAGGTGGTGGACATATTGGACTGGCCTGAACCTAAAGAAGTCAAAGGATTGAGAGGATTTTTGGGCTTAACGGGTTATTACAGGAGGTTCGTACAAGGGTATAGTAAGATTGCAGCCCCCCTGACAAACCTATTAAAGAAAGATGCATTTAAATGGAACCCCGAGGCTTCTCAGGCTTTTGAACAGTTAAAGAAAGCTATGACAACTTTACCTGTTCTCAGGGTTCTTGATTTTACCAAGACTTTTGTTGTTGAGGCAGATGCTTCCGGGACAGGTGTAGGAGCAGTTTTGATGCAGGAAGGGAGGCCTGTGGCGTATATGAGCAAGGTTTTATCTCAGAGGAACCAAGGCAAATCTGTGTACGAGAGAGAATTGATTGCAATCGTCTTGGCTATCCAAAAATGGAGACCTTATCTCTTAGGCAGGATCTTCGAGGTGCATACTGATCAGAAAAGCCTAAGGTTTTTAACAGAGCAGAGACTGATGGGGGAAGAACAACAAAAGTGGGTTGCCAAGCTTCTGGGATACAAATTTGTTATTAAATACAAACCCGGCAGTGAGAATAAGGCAGCAGATGCCCTCTCCAGAAAGAGTAGTATACACAGTTTGTCCATTGTTACTTGCCAAGAGTGGCAAGGGCTAGTAGAGGAATTGAAGGCAGACCCGAAATATCAGAATATCATACAAACCATAATGGGAAATCCAGCAAGTATACCAGATTTCAAGTTCAGAAATGGCTTATTGTACTATCAAGGAAGATTGGTACTACCCAAGCAATCTTCTCGAATACCTCTAATATTGAAAGAATTCCATGATTCTGCAATTGGAGGGCATGCCGGGGCTTTCAGAACTATGAAAAGAGTATCTGGTTTATTCTATTGGGTTGGCATGAGAAAGGACATCCAAGATTATGTGCAAGGATGTGAAGTATGCCAAAGGAACAAGTACCAGACCCTCAGTCCAGCAGGGTTATTGCAACCTTTGCCCATCCCTGACAGAATATGGGAAAATATCAGCGTGGATTTTATTGGAGGGCTGCCCAAGGCTCAAGGGAAGGATACAATTTTGGTGATCGTGGATCGGCTAACCAAATATGCTCACTTCATAGCTCTTGTTCACCCTTATACAGCCAAGGAGGTGGCAGAAGTCTTTGTTCAGGAGGTGGTACGGTTACATGGATTTCCCAAGTCCATAGTATCGGACAGGGATAGGGTCTTCTTGAGTTCTTTTTGGGCAGAACTGTTTAAGATGGCAGGCACCCAACTGAAGTACAGCACAGCGTACCACCCTCAAACGGACGGCCAAACTGAGGTGGTAAACAGGTGCTTAGAGACATATTTGAGATGTATCACCGGACTGAAGCCTAAACAGTGGCCTAAATGGCTCTCCTGGGCCGAATATTGGTACAATACCAATTATCACATTTCCATCAAGAATACGCCCTACAAGGCCCTATATGGACAAGATCCCCCCGCTATTGTGAGAGGAGAATAGGAGATGTAACTTTGTCCTCAGTAGAAGAAGTCAACAAGTTGACGGCTGAAAGGAATTTAATACTGGATGAATTGAAGACCAGTTTAGCTATGGCCCAAAACAGGATGAAGCAGCAGGCTGATAAACATAGACGGCCCTTACAAGTGGAGGTGGGAGACATGGTATTCTTAAAAATTCAGCCTTATAAAATGAAAAGTTTAGCTAAACGGTTGAATCAGAAGTTGAGCCCAAAATTCTATGGGCCGTTTGAGGTGATAGAAAAGATAAACCCAGTGGCATTTAAACTTGTGAAAGACATTAGAATATACTTTAGAATATACTTTAGAATATTCTTCTATCCTTAGAATATACTTTAGAATATTTTAGGAATATACTCTAGGATATTATTATTGTATAGAATCTTATAGGAATATTCTATCTTTGTAATCTATATTTATAGGGACTTAACCCTCCAATGAAATACACAGAAAATCTTTCCTCCTCTCTTCAATATTATATTTTGTAGTTTATATTTCAACATGGTATCAGAGCCTTCCATTTCAATTTAGTTTTCAGATTTCAATTTAGTTTTTCAGATTTCAGTTCAGAATTCAGGCTGGGTTCTTTCTCCAAGAACTTCAGTTAACTTCAGAACCTTACAACCATTCTGCCTACAGAACCTCTGTCCAGATCCTCATTCCAGAACATCAATACACCCTAGAACCAGAACCTTTGTCCAGACCAACACCATCCTAACCAGTTGCACTCGCGGCTTCTGCACGCGCCGTCGATTGAAGCTTCATAACTGGCCGGCCCTTTTTGATCGGAAGTCTCCATCTAGGTCGCCTGAGTATTCTCTGCCAGGCAAATCCATTCTTCCGATTTGCAAGCTTTTGGATCGCTTCTGGAGGTTGGCGACGCAGATATTTTTGGGAGGGGCTGCGTGTCTACTTGCTGGTATCATTATATATCAACGAGGCCTACATAAAGTCACAAACCCAGACTTTGCCAACCATCTATTGAGTTGCCACTGGTAAGTCTTAATTAGCTGTATTTATTTATTTAAAAAAAAACAAAAAAAAAACAAAAAAAAAAAAAAAAAAAAAAAAAGTCTTGTACGGGTCCATTTGGCAGAGGAGTAATTATATGCAATTACTGTAAGAAGCCCGGACACTTGATCAAAGAATGTAGAAAATTGCTGTTCAAAAATCAAGGAAATCAGCTTGCTCATGTTGCTTCCGCTACCAGTTCATCTGATGGATCAGTTGCTATTTCTTCAGACGAGTATGCTAAATTTATTTGCTACCAAGAATCTCTAAAGCATTCATCTACCCCTATCTCGGTAGTCGCAAATTCAGGTATTTCAAACACATGTCTTGTTTCATCATCCTCAAAATGGGTCATTGACTCAGGTGCCACAGATCATATGACTGGTAATCCTAGTCTATTCTCATCATTTCACTCACATTTACCTGCTTCCAGTGTCACTTTAGCAGACGGGTCTACCTCACCCGTTCTTGGATCTGGTACTGTTGTACCAACTTCTACATTACCATTATCGTCTGTTTTGAGTCTTCCTAATTTTGCATTTAATCTGCTTTCCATCAGTAAAATCACACGTACTCTTAATTGTTCTGTAACATTTTTTCCGGGATATTGTGTGTTTCAGGATCTGTTAACGAAGCATACTATTGGTCAAGGACATGAGTCGGGTGGTCTTTATATTTTGGATACATCAATTACAAAAGGTATCTCTTGCCTTGGGGTTGGAAATCTATTAGAAGCTCATTACCGATTAGGACATCCATCTCTCTCACTAATGAAGCAATTATATCCTCAGTTTAATAAAGTGTCTTCTATACAATGTGAGTCGTGTGAGTTTGCTAAACATCATCGCACTAGTTTAAGTCCCCGACTTAATAAACGAGCAAATGCTCCGTTTGATCTTGTCCATACTGATGTTTGGGGGGCATGTCTAGTTGTGTCCAAACCTGGTTTCAAATATTTTGTCACTTTTGTTGACGATTATTCTCGTATGACATGGGTGTATTTTATGAAGCGCCGATCCGAGTTATTTACTCATTTCTCTGCATTTTGTGTTGAAATTAAAACTCAATTTAATGTTCTTGTTCGTGTGTTAAGGGGAGACAATGCCCAAGAATATTTATCTGCTCCATTTAAATCTTTTATGCTTCAACATGGCATTATTCATCAAACTTCATGCGTAGACACACCTCCTCAAAATGGAGTTGCTGAAAGAAAGAATCGACATCTGTTAGAAACTGCAAGGGCTCTTCTATTCCAAATGAATGTGCCTAAACAATTTTGGGCTGACGCTGTGTCTACTTCATGTTTTTTGATCAATCGTATGTCATCTTCTGTTTTGGATGGTAAAACTCCTTATCAATGTCTTTTTCCAAATAAAGAACTTTTTCCTATTCCACCTAAAATATTTGGTTGCACTTGTTTTGTTAGAGATGTTAACCCTCATCGGACGAAATTGGACCCCAAGTCATTGAAATGTATTTTCTTGGGTTATTCTCGAGTTCAAAAGGGGTATAGATGTTTTTGTCCAAGTACAGGTCGATATCTTATTTCTATTGATGTCTCATTTCATGAAAATACACTATTTTCATCATCCAAGACAGATATTCATGAGGACAACGATGAAATACTCATTTACACAGTTACTATACCTGAGACCACACCTTCAGTAACTAGACCTCCTGTACACTTGGTTTACACCCGTCGACACAAAGCACAAGATCACTCCCCACCTGTGACACCTTTGATTACATATCCTGATACTGGTCCGACTTCGATCTCATGTCCTGAACCAGTACCTGCATCTTCAGATCTTGTCTCTACATCTGATCTTGACCTCCCGATAGCACTACGTAAAGGTACACGGTCTTGTACTCATCCTATTTCCTCATTTGTGTCATACAGTCAGTTATCTCCTGCCTCATGTTCTTTTGTTGCTTCCATTGATTCTATTTCTGTTCCCAAATCTGTTAAAGAAGCTTTGTCTCATCCTGAATGGCGTCATGCCATGGTAAAGGAAATGAATGCTTTGGATCTTAATGGTACTTGGGATTTGGTATACTTGCCTTCAGGGAAGAAGTCTATTGGATGTAAGTGGGTCTTTGCTGTTAAGGTTAATCCAGATGGATCTGTTGCTCGATTGAAAGCTCGATTGGTTGCAAAGGGTTATGCTCAAACCTATGGTGTTGATTATTCTGACACTTTTTCTCCTGTTGCTAAATTAACATCTGTCAGGTTACTTATCTCACTCGCTGCAACTCATGATTGGCACTTACACCAGTTGGACATTAAAAATGCATTCTTACATGGTGACCTTCAGGAGGAAGTTTATATGGAGCAACCTCCGGGATTTGTTGCTCAGGGGGAGTATGGGAAAGTTTGTCGACTTCGCAAATCTCTTTATGGTCTGAAACAGAGTCCTCGTGCATGGTTTGGGAAATTCAGTCAATCCATAGAACGGTTTGGAATGATAAAAGGTCAATCAGATCACTCTGTCTTTTACAGAAAAACGAAAGCAGGTATCACATTGCTTGTGGTGTATGTCGATGATATTGTGATTACAGGAAGTGATACCGCAGGTATTTTGGCCCTTAAGAATTTTCTTCATAGCCAATTCCAAACAAAAGACCTAGGCTCATTGAAATACTTTCTGGGTATTGAGGTAACACGGAGTAAGAAAGGCATATTTCTATCTCAGCGTAAATATGTACTTGATTTACTAACTGAAACAGGGAAATTGGGAGCAAAGCCAAACACAACTCCCATGGTTCCCAATGTGCAACTCACTTCAGAAGGCATACCATTTGAAGACCCAGAAAGGTACAGAAGATTGGTTGGAAAGCTTAACTATCTCGCAGTCACTCGTCCAGACATTGCTTACTCTGTGAGCGTAGTGAGTCAATATATGTCATCTCCGACAGTTGATCATTGGAATGCAGTAGAGCATATATTATGTTACTTGAAGGGGACACCAGGACGAGGTATTGTTTACCAAAATCATGATCACATGAGAATAGAATGCTTTGCAGATGCTGATTGGGCTGGATCTAAAGATGATAGGAGATCCACATCTGGCTATTGCGTCTTTGTTGGTGGTAATCTCGTCTCTTGGAAAAGTAAGAAGCAAAATGTGGTTTCTCGTTCGAGTGCTGAATCAGAATATCGGGCTATGGCACAATCGGCATGTGAGATAATCTGGATAAACCATTTGCTGAGTGAAATCGGATTGAAGACACCAATGCCTGCTAAACTCTGGTGTGATAACCAAGCTGCTATACACATTGCCAACAACCTAGTGTTTCATGAGAGAACAAAACATATTGAGGTCGATTGTCACTTTGTTCGAGAAAAGATACAACAAGGATTGATCTCTACAGGATATGTGAAGACTGGAGAGCAACTTGGAGATTTGTTCACTAAAGCATTAAATGGAATTCGTGTTGGTTATTTATGTAACAAGTTGGGCATGATAAATATCTATGCTCCAACTTGAGGGGGAGTGTGAAAGACATTAGAATATACTTTAGAATATACTTTAGAATATTCTTCTATCCTTAGAATATACTTTAGAATATTTTAGGAATATACTCTAGGATATTATTATTGTATAGAATCTTATAGGAATATTCTATCTTTGTAATCTATATTTATAGGGACTTAACCCTCCAATGAAATACACAGAAAATCTTTCCTCCTCTCTTCAATATTATATTTTGTAGTTTATATTTCAACAAAACTGAAACTACCTGAGGGGTGCACCGTGCATCCGGTGTTTCATATCTCTTTACTCAAGAAGGCAGTATCTCCTAACATACCCTGCCAGCCCCTACCTACATGCATTTCAGAAGAATGGGAGTTACAAGTTCAGCCTGAAGAAGTGGTGGATTACAGAGTGAATCCTGATGGGCAGAAGGAAGTGCTAATTCATTGGAAGCAGCTGCCAGCTTTTGAGGATTCTTGGGAAGATTTAAACAAGTTTCAGAAGCAGTTTCCAACATTCCACCTTGGGGACAAGGTGGTAGTTCAAGGGGAGGGTAATGATAGCACAAGGGGTGTAGAATATTTTGATAGGGTGTATGTAAGAAGGGGAAGGAGGAACGGGAATAGTCGGGAATAATTAATGAGCGGGTTTGTTTGCTATATATATGTTAGGGTGGGAAATAAGAGGGACAGGCTGGAATTCAGTAAGTCTTGGCTGGGCTTCGGGATAGAGAGAGAAACCCACTATCTTTCTCTAGATTGGACTGTTCTTGTTATTTTACGTCTCTTTTATTAATAAAATACTGCAACTATTACCGATTATTAGCTTGACTAACAGAGGGATCAGTGATAGGTGGAGGAACAAGATCAGTGATAGGTGGAGGAAAAAGATCACCAGTGAGATAACCAAGCTTGTGACCATTGTAGCTAGCTCTGCCCATCTAGTTTGTGGGCTGTTATGTGGAGAGATGAAAGATCGCTCCCGGAAAAAGGAACAAGAGAGACAGAGGTGCATCACTGAACTGCTGAGTTAGTGATCGTATTAGCAACCATGGAAGTTTATAGTCGAAGTCACCCAAGAAAAAAGAAAATGAAAGAAGTTTCTGGGTGATAAGAAGAAAAATCGGAGGCCAATAAACCCGTGTCTCTGATAATAGAAAAGTGATGAGATAGAAAGTTTCTGCTATTTTTATTAATAAGAGACAGCTTCTTTCCTTTTATAGGATAAGAGTACAAGTTCCCGTACAAAAAGATCCGATTCCTATTTTAAAAGTCTGAATAATAACAAATTAACTATTGTTGACAAAATACACATAATCAATTAGCAAAATAAATCCCTAAATTTAAGGAGCCTTCAAATCCTCTTCAGATTTTTCAACACTTTCTAAGTTTGTTTCTCTTGAAATCAGAAGGTTCCGCATTATGCCCCATTTGCCCACTTTTCTAGTCTTATTTATTTAAACTTATAAACATAAGATGCAGGAGCACCCCACACCCACTACGTGTCCTTAGAAGCGATATAAATAAATCAGGAATGTATCAACTACCAAACAAAATAAAGCACAAAGAGACTAAAAAGCATAATATCACAGTGTGCGGGAGTCTGGGAGAACGAGAAATTCAAATTAGCATTCAAAATTTGCAACAGCAACAGCATCCAAGCCTTAGTCCCAAAAGAATTTGGGGTCGGCAACATTCAAAAAGTGCAACATACTGAAAAAATGAATCTAAAAAAGCGGAGAGCAGTATTGAAGATAAGCCTTTATGAAACTCATCACCAAACAGTCAAACACACCTTAATACTCCCTCCGTCCCAATATAAAAGGCACACTTTCCTTTTCGGGCCGTCCCAATATAAAAGGCACATTTCCCTTTTTGGCAAACAAAACAGTGCCAAACAGTGCCAAACAGTGTCCAAACAGTGTCTAAACAGTGCCAAACAGTGTTAAAACAGTGTTCACCCTAAAAATGTGTGGAAACACAAATGTGCCTTTTATATTGGGACGGAGGGAGTATTTAAAAGTAATCGCTTGACCAAACGCATATGTTATTTTAAAAAATGGCATACCTTATATCCAACTTTGGATCTGCCGCTCCAAGCATGCAAATAAACCTGCTAGGACAATGTTGCATGTCAAACAAAAATGTTGCCCATCTTATTGCACAAAAACGCACTTCACTTTGTTCCTTGCATGTGAAAAGAACACAGAATTATTATGGATGAGGGACTTCATACAAAACATGACAGTCCAACTCCAATATAGAATGTAGTTATACCACTTTCGAACTTTTCAATAGGAGTGACTCCAAAGTCTTTAACACACCTGGTTGTGCGCCCTGAACACCAAATAGCAACCATCAGGGATTTTTTAACAAAATTGAGAACTGAAAATAGATAGATAATTCATATCAAACCTTGTAAGCAACAGCAAGAGAATTGGTTGCTTCTTGAATAGTTAAACGGAGAAACTGAGCCTCAGATTGCAGCGCATCAAAAAGCCGGACAGCAATATCAATTTTATCTCTAAACATATAATAGGAGTTAATGAAGTGTTAGGAAGACAAAGATGGAATAGATGAATGAATGCATAAATAACAATGAAGAATACCTAAAGAGTTGAGGCATTCTTTGTGCAATCAATCCAACTGCTTGAAAAGCAAAAGCTTTTGTGTCCCTAGAAACAGCATCTGGAAGATAGTGAATACGAAAATATTTTATTCCAATATCTATATCAAATTCAGAACAAGGTTCTAACAGTAAAACACTAAAAATATGCCATTAGGAAACCTGATTCAGATGCTGAGTAGCCATCAAGAGATTTAAGAATCCCCGTCAAGATAACAGGGCCCATAAGCTTCAATTGGTCCATCCCTGCCTACATTTATTCAAAAAAAAAAAAAACTCATATTCCTAATATACATAAGGTAGGAAAAGGTATGTTATGATGATAAAATGGATATGAACAATATGGCTGGAAAAGTACTCTATGAAAATATGTGAAACATATAAATTCAGAGTTCATTCCCACTTATACTTGAGATAAATGACCAGAATTGTAAACCGGGGGGAGGGGGTACTTGATCTGCAAAGCATCCACATGTAAGGTTGTGTTTGAAAAATAAATAATAAATGAACTAAGTCACTTGGGGATTGTGCATCTTGAAAGTTACATAAGGATTGGAAAGAAGCAAAAACAATTGAAAGTAGCATACGGACTGAAAAGAATCAAACAAATGACAATGCATATGCCAGTGCACATTAACACAACTTCCATTCATCTACATCAAGTCCAAATTGTTTGAATTCTTTCAATTAAAAGATGCAGTTATTGAATTAATTCCAGGGCTACTGATAGCAAATTAAGAGTTTTTCTAGCATAAGAGGTTAGACTCTTAACAGTCCCTGTCACGTCTTTGTAATATAAATCTATTATTTGTTTTATATTCCTTTCATCACAAAATGGACATCCCATTGCGGATGATGAGGTTTGGCGGTTGATAGAGATAATTCCTCCTTTGCAATATTTTAAAGGGAAAAATAACAAAAATATCCCAAACTTTGAGTGGGTGTGAGATAAACACCCCAAACTTGCATATGTAATTCAAATACCTCAAACTTTATATAAAAAGTTATTTTAGCACCATAGTCAAGTATTATTTCTTTCAAAAATGTAAATTTATTGTGTTAATTGCTTAATTTAAAATTATTTTAGAATTCATGATGACACTATTAACATTCTAAACTTCCATTAGGAAATAAATAATGTTACCCCCAATCTATATAATTGCAACACTTTTAATTTTTTATGTTAAATTATGCGATTAACCCCATAAATTTACATTTAAAAAAACATGATAATGGCGCAAAAATAACTTTTTATTTAAATTTTAGGGTATTTAAATTACATAGGCAAGTTTGGAGTATTTTTATTAATTTCCCCTATTTTAAATCAGTACTAATAATTAAAATTTATTTTCCATCATTTCCAATGGGCAATGGAGCCAAAGACTTGCTATTTTTTGGCTTGCGAATATGATGGAATAAAGCAAAATGGATCCACTAAACTGTCTGCGCTTCTTTGTTATGAAGCAACAGTCGATCAATGTAGTTTTCGACGCCGATTGTCATCATGGGTCATCCGGAAACAGTCTCTATGTGCCTTAGTACAAGGGTAAGGTTACGTACATCCGACACCCTTACCCCACCGTAGGTGGGAGCCTTTGCGGCACTGGGGTCATGTTGTTGTTGTATTAATAATTAAAATTAACATTTTTAAAAACTACATTAAAAAGTTCTATTGAACCACAAAAAACTGGATTTGGATAGGAAAAATTGCTACATATAATCAGAGATCAAAATTGAGTTGTGTTGATCATATAATAGTAACCGGTACTTTCATTTTGAGGCATAAGGTCATGGAAAACTTGTTTAGCATCACCAAAAAACTTGGCCATAGACCAACTCAATAAGCAATGATCACAAGGACCTTCTCAGAGTTATTAAAGTTATTGTTGATATAAAAGCTAGAAGATCGATATCTGTAGGTCGACCTTCCCTACCCTGAGTAACAAAGCTAGTATTTGGTTCATTTGGCTGTAACAAAACTAATAAAAACTTCCATAGAAAACATATCCTCAAAGTACTAGTATAGTAGCACTCGTTTAATGATCCACATTAGTGCATTTTTTCAAATACAACATCCAAGCCTTAGTGCCAAAAGTGTTTGAGGTCAGCTAAGTAGCTAACATGAATCGAAATATGAAATCAGATCTGAAAAAGATAAAAAAGATTAAAAGATAAGACAAGATTAAAAATAAAAATAAAAACAAAAATAAAAATAAAAATAAAAATAAAAAGATGGAAAAGATAAGATAAAGATAAAGATAAAAAAACATATAAAACAAGATAAAAAGATAAAGAGATAGAGAAGATAGGAAAGATAAATTTGAAAAAGAGATCAATCCTCCACACGTATATTCTCCCCCGCTTTGCTCTCTTTAAAGTCATTTTTCCAAATGCAGGTTAAAAAAATCAACTGTTAAAATGTACTCCGTAGTTATTTTCTTTCATTATTGACATCAAATAATTATACCAGATGGTCATTATATACTCCATATTTGTTATTAATATCAACAATTAAGCAGAGAATCTTTTTATTTCAAAAACGATTGTGCTTCACTTTTTCATTTATATCATTATATGATATATGAGTTGAACATTTCAGGTTTTACAGTGCAGAGTAAATTTTAAGGGGTTTATTCTCCAGCAAAATGGGAGAAGGGAGCTAGACGCCTAGACCAATTTCTAGTAACAGGAAGATATTACCAAAAAATATTCAGAAGGATAAAGTAATGCTAGCTGATGTTGCTTTATCTTTATGATAAGATTTTTTTATAGTTCCACTATTACTATCTTCAGCAACATATATAAGTCCTATGAAGATTATAATATAAGGGTTGATCATTCAAATGTGTACAACTGTACATCAAGTATCATGCAAGGAAAATTTGTTATCAGCTATCAATTAATGTTCTAACGAACTTACATTTTTACGACTAGAAAAGCAATCCCCTGTCAGAAAGAAGTACAATGCTGCTACTAGAACATTCATTAGAACATTTAATAAATCTCACTGCCAAATACCCAAATTTTAGTATGTACATAATACTATAGTAGTCATTGTTACGGTGCAAATATATTATACTTTCACAGTTTCACTATAAAAAAACATTTCTTACAAGCCTTAAAAGTTCTAGTGACTACTGTTAACACTTAACAGTATATTGACAGATGGAAAAGATAAGTTTAAGTTGACCACAGCAATTTTAGACTATGCATGTGAAATGACTGGCTGTGAAAACAAGTTAGGTGCCTCAATAGTCAATACTTACATGCTTGAAGACCCATACAGTAAACTCCATACCCAACTGCTTCAGCCTTGAGGTGGTATTATTCCCTATACAGCAAAAATGTTAAAGGCAAGTGTCCTATATAAAAGAAAAGGAAAAAAACAAGTGCACTAGAAAGATAGTACTACATTTAGTTATAATACGTGCATAAACATTAATTGTTTGATACCCACCCTCTTCCAATTTCTTTGGTAAACTAGGGTTTCTTTTTTCAATGTTAATGGGAATAAAAGGCAACAGAAAAGTATTGGATAAAATGGAGGAAATTTTATTAGAGCACATCATGTGTACCAGAAAAATAAAAGGGCTCACCTCCACAAATGATGATAAACT